GAATCATTTTCTTAGGCCATTCTTGGGTAAGTTTTGTGTGGTTTATTTTGATGACATTCTAATATATAGTAAAACCATGGAAGAACATGTTCAACATTTGAGGCTAGTTTTACTTGTTTTGAGGAAGGAAAAATTGTTTGCTAATTTACAAAAATGTACGTTTTGTACTGACAGGGTTGTTTTCCTAGGTTTCATTGTGAATTTTGAAGGTTTGGAGGTTGACAAAGAGAAGTTTAAAGCCATTAAATAGTGGCCACGACCAACAAGCATTTATCAAGTTAGGAGCTTCCATGGACTTGCAAGTTTTTATTGGAGATTCGTCCCAAACTTCAGCACCATAGCCGCCCCATTAACAAGTGTTATTAAGAAGAATTCCAAATTATTTTGGGGGAAGATCAAGAGAAGTCCTTTAATAGTATTAAAGATTGTTTAATACATGCCCCTTTACTTACTCTACCTGATTTTAATTTAACTTTTGAAATTGAATGTGATGCATCGGGTGTAGGAATTGGAGCAGTCTTGTCTCAAGGTGGACGTCCTATAGCCTATTTTAGTGAGAAATTAAGTGGAGCTACGCTTAACTATCCTACCTACGACAAAGAGATGTATGCTCTTGTGAGGGCAATGGAAACATGGCAACACTACCTTTGGCCTAAGGAGTTCATCATTCACACCGATTATAAGGTGTTGAAACATATTCGGGGGTAGCATAAACTCAACAAAAGGCATTCCAAATGGGTAGAGTTTCTTGAAACTTTTTCATATGTTATCAAGTACAAGAAAGGTAAGGAGAATATAGTTGTCGATGCATTGTTACGAAGGTATGTTCTTTTAAACACTTTGGAATCTCAGTTGTTGGGTTTTACTTTTATTAAAGACTTATATGTTTCTGACTCTGATTTTGGAGAAATTTACAAAGCTTGTGAGAACGATTGATAAATACTTTAAGCATGATGGTTTTCTATTCAAGGAAGGGAGACTATGCGTCCCTCAAGGTTCCATGCGAGAATTGCTCACTAAGGAAGCCCATGGAGGAGGATTAATGGGACATTTTGAGATAGCAAAGACTTTGGCTATACTTCAAGAACATTTATATTGGCCCAAAATGAAACGAGGTGTGGAAAGGTTATGTAAGCGTTGCATTACTTGCAGGAAGGCCAAATCTAAAGTCATGCCACATGGACTTTACACACCACTACCCATACCGGAAGCACCATGGATGGATATTTCAATGGATTTTGTGCTAGGACTTCCACGCACAAAGAACAATAAAGACTCCATCTTTGTGGAAAGGTTGCTTTCATTCTTGTTCTCTTGTAGAACTTTATCGGCTTCAAGATAGTCTTGTTGTCTTCATCCATTTCCTTTTGTTATAGTGTTGGTTCCTAGCTCATCTATAGCTAGTGGGTCACGTTCCATCTACTTCCACTTCGATTCCATCTATTTATATTGATGGTTACTAACTCCATATAGTTAGAGGGTCACAATCCATTTTCTTTTCAATCCATCTTTTATATTCCACGCCATTGTCAACCCATATATTCGCCATACTTTCATTACATCCAAACTACAACTTCCATCATCTTGCGTTCAAAGCAAGCAATTCAATTTCTTACTAAATCATGATCGGGCAATCATATATGATTTGAAACTCATAATCGAGATCATATCACTTCTAGAGTTAGAAGATTGAGAGGATCATAATCCATAGGTTCATACTACATAACAAGCAAGATAAAAAAATTGAAAAGGTAATTGCAATCTCTTGATATAATCAAGTGCTTCATTTGATAAATAATTAAAATCTACAAACATTAGAGAAAAGGAAAACAAAGGAAATAGGACACTTGAACATATCAAACTTCCTGGAAGCAACATGAAACTGGTGTCCAACAATCTCTGCATGTTTAAGGATATGACGAGTGAATCAGGTTGCTCATGCAAAAGCCTGTCGATATAACGGGTCCTACAATAAAACATGATGGGATATAATCTATAGTATTAAATTGCGGCTGCAACACAGTATAACGACCACATTATAATATTATTCAAGGTCACCATAACACCGTAAACTGTATCTGCAACATAAAACATAATTATTTTTAGGAAGAAAATCACGCCATAACATCTGGAACACGAGCAACCACGACGCCGCAACCGTAATTTTGTACTATACAATGATATCCGTTATGCTTTTATTGGGAGCCATGAAACGCCTTGATAATGTTTTATCCAAAATATTTTTAGTGGATAAGGTAAAAAGCCTTCATCATGGTAGAATTGACGATGCTGAAACCTCCGTCCAGAACAAGTTTGATCCCACTCACAAAGTTGGCTTCATCACTAGCCAGGTATGAAGCTGCATAAGCCAAACCCTCTGGCTTGAGAGTTTCCCCTTTGAGATTCCCCATTTCTGTTAGTTTCTGTTCCAGGTTCGTAACCTCGGCTTCATTTGATACAATCATTGGAGTTGCAACTCCATAAGGCGATATACAATTTACTCTTATCCCATGCTGGCCAAGCTCAGCTGCCAAGTTCTTTCAGACCCAAAACTCCATATTTCGACACTGCATAGGCATTGCCCGATCGAAGCCCTGCGATTGCTGTACATGCAATAGCAGTGAAAAGTATTCATCCTTTACGCTGAGGCACCATCACCCTGGCTGCATGTTTCGCTCCTAGTAGAGCACCCACAAGGTTTACCCCAATAACTTGCTCGATTTCTGGCTTCGTGATGTCCAAGATGGTGCTCATGGGGCGGTCCATGATGCCTGCATTGCTGAACATCACGTCGAGTTTTCCATACTTGCTGATCGCAGCGTCAGTGACGTTTCAGACATCGTCTTCATTTGTCACGTCGCAGCTAATGTAGCAAGCACCTTCACCGAGCTTATTGGCAAGGGCTTCTCCTTTGTTGTAATCGATATCAGCGATCACGACCTTGGCACCATTTTTATGGAAAAGGCACGCGGTACTTGCTCCAATGCCGCTTGCACCTCCTGTTATAATCGCCTCTTTCCCAGCTAACCTGAAATTAAACCATAACAAAATCCAACCAATTATATAGTAATAAGCTCAAGAGAAAATGAGAGGAAGTGCTTTTGGGAGTAATTTAATACCTTCTAAGTGGTGCTATCAAAGAAGAAACATTGCTCATCTTCTCCTTACAAGAAATCTTAAATCAAGCAGAGAGTAGGAAGAAATGAGAGGCAATTGCTTATTGATTTGTTGTGAACTTTATATAGTAAAATTAGTTGAAGAAAAGAGTGAAATATATATATTTCATAGACTGAACTGTAAACATTAAAATTAAGCGGCTATATCTGCAAATTAACCCCAACTTTAATAAGCAACATAAAACATCAAGTATATTATGAAGAGGGTAGATATGTTAGTTGGCATAATTTGTTCATAAATGGGGAGCACTATAAAATAATTCACTTACTAGTATTTACTTGTGTCGGTGCAAAGAAAATAATCGTTAGTAAATATTTCATTGGTAGATAATGAATCACCGAATTAACATTGGCCAAACATGTGCTGGTAAAATGTTTTCGATGAATTGTCCATCATTGTCAGTAAAAAAGCAAGTTTTACTGGAGATTTTTCTTCCATCGCTTTCAACTCATTATAGCGAAGAGGAGGATACTTGATTTGTTTTTTTTGTTTATTGTTGTTTTCATTTCTCTAAATAGTAGTTTTAAGTTTTGGGTAGTATTGTGTACGATTAAGAATGGCGAGATCAATTTGAACGGTTACCGATCAAATAAAAAATTGAAAAAGTGTCAATTTAAAGTATTATTCATATCAATCTAAAATGTTATATATTTTAATAATATTAACGATTGCAATTTAAAATGTTACCGGAAGTTTAAAATTGATTCATATTTAATATTGAAATAATGTTTCAAGTAATGTTACCCTTTTTACATAATTTGTTATGATTTGAAACGTTAAATGGTTTGGTAATATTTTCGACTGCTACTTAAGTGAAATTGACGTGACAACTAACTACTGTCCATAATGAAATTCATCTTGTATTACTAGTTTATTCATTTTCAGATTTGCTACTCGTGACCTTTTTATCTCTAATTTTTCATGCCAAATTATTGTAAGAGTAAAATTTATCGAATCAATCTCCACTTAACTTTTTTTTATTGCCAAGTATTTTATTGTCAAGTAATGTGTATAAATAACAACTACTAGCAACTCTTTTTAAATGGTGATATAATTTAAGTGCACATCATTGTGAGTTTTACTAGTATAGTAGATTCCATAAAAGATTTTACCACACATCTTTGACCTATTACCCCTACAACAAAATTGTTGGCATAAATGGGGTTGATCAATCTGGTGGAACAACAATAAGTGTTATGGCAAGTCGTTTCTTTAACTCTTTAAATGTCAGATGTCATGATTCATCAACTTTGAATGTTTTATTCTGTTCAAGGAACAAAGATTTAGATATTTTGAAAAAATCTTTTATAAATTTCTTATAAAAATTCTGTATGTCCTAGGAAACTTCAAATTCTCTTTAGTGAAATTGGCGGTGAAAACTTTTGAATTACCTCCACCTTTGCTTTATCTTCCAAGTATATTATAAGGAGGGAAGATATATTAATTGGCCTAATTTGTTCCTAAATGAGGACCACCTATCAAATAATTCACTTTACTAGTATTTACATGTGTCGATAAAAAGAAAATAATCGTTAGTAGAAATTTCCCAATGAACTAGATAGTGCTCCTTTAATTAATGTCGGTTACTTTATTTTTTGCTAGACTTTTAGTTATGTACTCTCTTTCCCAAGCAGCCAATAGATGCCACTTTTCATTAATATTAATTAGTTAAAATGTTAAAACTAATATTCTTCTAAAAAATTAATAATATTTTACATAATATTCATAGGTGTTCCGAAATTAAGAATAATTGGAATCTGTTATAGTCTCAATGTTTTGAAATGATTTTTTTTAATTAATATGAGGTTAGTAAAAGCAGTAAATATTCAAAGATAACTCTAACTATTTAATATTAAACGCTCATACCTAGGATATTCCTAGAACATAGGCGTATGGCCTCCATTGCTGATTGTGGAATTTGCATCGATGAAAGCACATATCCATAATATTATTCAGAAAGTATTGAGAGTCCCATCTTCCATGATTGATTGCTGAGGCTATAGCCTCCATCAATAGCCAGGTTGACACCGCTCACATATTTGGCCTCGTCACTTACCAGGTACAGGGCTGCATTTGCGAAATCTTCCGGTTCCAAAAGAGTCTTTTTCAGAACTGCTGAAACAGCTATCATCTCCTCCCCCTTCTTCTTGTCGAACAATCCGAGTGTTTTCTGGAACATAGGCGTGAAAATCGCATGCGGCGAGATGCAATTAACCCGGATTCCGTGTTCACCTAACTCGACGGCCAAGCTCTTAGTCAAGCCCGCCACGGCATGCTTTGATGTTTTGTATGCATGGGAGTTTCCATAGCAGATTTTTGAAGCAAGACTTGCTGTGAAAAGAATGCAGCCTTTCTTGGCCGGAACCATGACCCTGGCTGCATGCTTGGCACCGTGGAATGCACCCAAAACATTCACGTCAAGCACTCTTTTGAAGTTTTCAGTGCTGGTCTCCGTCACTCTTGCTTCAAGGTCCCCCATAATCCCTGCATTGTTGAACATGATATCAAGCTTCCCATGCTTAGAAACTGCTGATTCCACGGTTTTTTCGACGTCGGATTCCGATGTTACATCGCAGTGGACATAGCTAATGGATTCTGTTCCAAGCTCCTGGCAAAGGGAGTGACCATATTCATCTTGAACATCAGCAATCACAACTTTGGCTCCATGTTTAACAAACACCCTGCCTGTGATCTCTCCAAGGCCACTGGCACCACCAGTAATCAGTGCCACCTTACCATCTAACCTGTTTCAAACAAAAAATCTCAAGGCTCAAGGGCAGATTACTTCATAAATTAATATGAAAAATTGTACAACAGTACAACTGTATGAACTTACCTCTTGGTCACTGAAGACTTGGCGCTCATTGTTTCTGACTACTGTTTCTGATTGCAATAAGAATTCTGTGTTTCACTTCATTGTTTTCTGGTTTTTTATATGCACAGGTCTAATCATCGTTTAGATGCTTTAGTTATAAAATTTATGCAATATTAAATTTGAGAGTTGCTTTAAAAATCTTCATTTCTGTCAACTTCCAAGTACAATGATAAGAACATTTATATTATCTTCATATATTATATGATAGACTTATATTTTTAAAAATGTAACTTTAATTATATAATATTAAAAAAATAGCAACGACAGCAAACTAATTTAAGTCCAGTTCAAAGTTGGGCAGCTTGAACAAGTTTCAAAAATAAACGTGAGACCAGGCTGACTGTTGACCTTCGCCTAACATATTCATTGAATCTGATCAAACTTCTAGCTGTCAAGTTGTAGTAAGTTACTTTTTCTTTTACTTAAATTCTAATATTTAAATTACATATAATATCAAATTTTTAAATAAAAGATGATTATCTTTAAATATATATAAGTTCACGATCATTAAATGTTAAAATAGCGATAATATTAACTGAATTTATATTTAATTAATCATATGCATTCATTGAAAACTCACTTAGAGATGGTTTTTTTTTTCTATTTAAGACAATTCCAAATTTAAGTGATACACTTTATTCTATTAATTTTAGAGAAGAAGAATGAAATTACTGCCTTTGACTAGTGTATCATTAACTCTTAAAAATGCTATATCATTTTAGATTTTATTAAAATATTAATTTACTTTTTGTTATACTTTTGATACTTATAAATAGATTCTTTCTCTTATTGGAGCTCCCAAGAAACCCATGTCTTTCGGACACATGAGTACCATAGCTTGTGAATTGACTACAGTGCATTGACAAGATATATAATAGTTTCACGTAATCTAACCAACGAAATCTAAGATATAACAACTAAATATATTTGAGAAAATAATCTCAGTGACCAAAAATCCTAGATAATATACGATTTTGACCAACTTTTTTTTGATTTGCGAAAATGACCAATAAAATCGTAATGCGATCTCTAATTCGCATTGCGATCTCCACTATCGCAAATTCGCGTTGCATTTCGCGTTGCAATAGTTGAAAATCGCGTTGCGATTTTCCATTTCGCGTTACGATAGTTGAAAATCGCGTTGCGCTTTTCCATTTCGCGTTGCGATAGTTGAAAATCGCGTTGCGATAGTTGAAAATCGCGTTGTGATTTTCCATTTCGCGTTGCGATAGTCTACAGTTGTCGTTGCGATTTTCCAAATTTGTTGCGATAGTCTACAGTTGTCGTTGCGATAGTCTACAGTTGTCGTTGCGATTTTCCAAGTTCGTTGCGAAAATTCGTTGTGATAGTTAAAAAAAAGATTTGTTTCTTAAGAATTTTCTCTAAAAAGATAGTATCCGCGCGGACGTGTCGAAGACACGTATGACCACGACCACGACCACGACCCGACCACGACCCCGACCCGACCCGAGACGAGACGAACGGCGGCGGCGACGCGCGAGAGTTCCCCTTGTTCTCTATCACTCAACAAGGAAGTGGAAAAGCCAAGCCTTAAATACCATTCCCAATAGTGTTTCCAATACTATATAGGATTGAGCATTACCAACACTTGTTTCCAATACAATGTGATTATTCATAAAACAATTAACAATCATGCACATTAAAACAACAGAATCAACAACCAATTGCATTAGTATTATACGATTAAATATGTCATAATTAAAAGTCAATCTACAATCAATCACGATTATTGCAATTTTAAGCAAAACATTCAAAAATAATATCACTATTTAAGGCTCAATCCCACATAGTATTGGGAACAAGTGTTGGTAATGCTCAAATCCCACATAGTATTGGAAACACTATTGAGAATGATATTTAAGGCTTGGCTTTCCCACTTTCTTGTTGAGTGATAGAGAACAAGGGGGACTCTCGCGCGCCGCCGCCGCCGTCCGTCTCGTCTGGTCTCGGGTCGTGTCGGGTCGGGTCGGGTCGGGTCGTGGTCGTGGTCGTGGTAATACGTGTCTTCGACACGTCCGCGCGGATACTATCTTTTTAGAGAAAATTCTTAAGAAACAAAATCTTTTTTTTTTAACTATCACAACGAATTTTCGCAACGAATTTGGAAAATCGCAACGACAACTATAGACTATCGCAACAAGAAATGAAAAATCACAACGCGATTTTCAACTATCGCAACGCGAAATGGAAAATCGCAACGCGATTTTCAATTATCGCAACGCGAAATGCAATGCGAATTAGAGATCGCATTGCGATTTTGTTGGTCATTTTCGCAAATCCAAAAAAAGTTGGTCAAAATGGTATATATTATCTGGGATTTTTAGTCACTGAGGTTATTTTCTCAACTTGTTGACCTATATGTGGCCATAATTACTCTATGCATGGCACATCAACTATGGTCATTGTAAATACCCTTTAGCTAAGACTGAGAAATAATTATCCCTGCTTTTTTTTCGTTCTTCAGTCTCATCTTCCATCTTTATTCCTTAATCTTTCCCATAAAGAAACACCGACCAACGATTGTTACTTCACCGGTCACGACTCTCCGTCCAAACCAGAAAGGGTACACCAATGACCGACAAGACAAACTTTTGATGCGATTAGCATGGGCGAGCCTAGTGACCAAGAGAATCAATGAAGATCTACCTAAAAATCAAAACAATATCCTTATATATCACTTTCTTCCTAAAATCTACCTAAATGAACTTGGCTTCTATGGTTAGTCCATTGTAAAAGGTCAGAAGTATACAATGGGAGTAGAAAAGGAGGGGGAGAGATGGGGGCAGCACAAGCAACACTGCCTGTCTCTCTCATCAAGGTTGCTCTTACTACAAGTGTTCCAACTCGAACCCAGCACACCTCTGCCAACCCAGAGGTTTAAGCATATGAACAAAGAGTTTGTGGTGTTACAAAACACATCCTCTAAAAAATAATGGATGTTGTCGCCATAGATGTTCATCACTATGATGACATCCTGGTCAAGGGTAGCATTAGAGGATCATTAGAGTGTAAGAGGAAGCATCCTCGAAAGCACCATGAGTCGTACCTTGAACAACATCCTCTAGTTGAGGCTAACACAGAAAAGCTTGGAAAGCATATACAATAATCCTTTACACCACATCGCGGGCATCGCTCTACCGACAAGTAACCATAATAGTTAATGAATAACAGTTAATGAATAACATGTGCTGGCAGGAATAATTATTTCAGAGATCGTATGGAATACTCTTAGAACATGTATTAAGAAAACCCTCATCGATATATTATGTGAGTTCACTAACTTGTTTTGATAGGAATATCCCTCGCTAAAAACTGCCAAAGTACTCCTAGTATATGTACTTAGAAAACTCTCCTCTTAGAATATCATGTTATATTTGAACAACTAATACATTTTGGTATTGGGGTTTTGATACCTTCTCTTAAGCATTGAATCTTCAAGTACATTTCTATTATCCTCTACTATGTTACCACAATGTGAGAGGCTACATTGTGCTACTATGGTGGAGATACCTCTCTTTTTGGCTAAAAATGTTGGGCGGCCTCTGCTTTAAGTGTTGAGATGTCTCTACTTTTTTCTAGATCTAAATATTGTTGTTATCAGCGATTGGCCAAAAGCATTGAGATATCTCCGCCTGTTACTTGTAGAACTGTTAAGTTGCCTCTATACCTATAGAATCATAAGTTGCCTCTGAGGGCGTTGAATTGTCTTTACCTCAACTTATGGCTACGAATCTACACGAGGGGTCGAGATTCCTTCGCTTCAGTGTTGAGATACTTCTACCCTATTTCTACCACGATAAAGATGTCTTAGTTATACCTTTAGTGACTGGCACGCGTTGAGATATCTCTACACCTATTGCAATGCATTGTCGTAGACTGAGTAGCCTACTTTACTTGGTTGAAAAATTATTGAGATGTCTCACGCTCTTCCTATACTATATAATTATGTCCTAAAACCGATTGAAATAGTTGAGAACCTCTACTCTAATGAGTGTTAAGATGCCCTCACCTAAAACTGTTGAGATACCTCTAGAAGCCCGATTGATGTTTAGATGCTTCTCACTCTTACTGATAAAGCCCGAAGTTACCTTCAAAGAGTGTTGAGATGCCTCAACTATGACATCGAGATGCCTTTACCCATGCAAGGGGAGTGTTGGCCTTCCCCCTCTATTTTCATCGATCATGACAAAAATGCCCTCACCTGTCAACCGAACCCCTTTGAGAGAGTTGAGTTGTCTCCTCTCTGACTAAGGACTTACACTACAGCAAAACTGGCTTTTTACGGTGTTTTTGACCTATAGCGTCATTTTTAAGCGCCGTAAAAAACACCTGCAACGCTATTACAAATGCCGCAAAAAGCGCCGCTAAAGTTCGCGGCATTTGTTAATAAAAAAAGCCTCAATAGGTAACGATCTATAGCGGCATTTGTTGCAATAGGTACTGATATTAAGCGGCATTTGTCTTACAAACGCCACAATAGGTTTTGAAATTTAGCGGCGTTTTTAGGATGCAAACGCCGCTAAAGGTATGGTATATAACGGCGTTTTTAAGATACAAACGCCGCTAAAGGTCTGGTATATAGCGTCGTTTTTAGTATACAAACGCCGCTAAAGGTCTAGTATATAGTGGCATTTTAGTATACAAACGCCGCTAAAGGTTGGTATATAGTGGTGTTTGTAACAAAAAATGCCACAATATATGTTAATATTTTGCGGTGTTTTTTTTATACAAACGCCGCTAAATAACACAGAATTTGACCAATTAAAAAATTATTGTCAATTACCCCAAATCTGTTTTTTCAACCTGTTCCATTATCCAACAAACATGACATCAATAATATCAAACTCTATATCCATAACAAGCAACATCAAATCCAATATAATAAATAAAAGTTTTCATTAACGTAATATAAGTTCAGTTAAACACGGTTCAATAACATTAATAGAATGCTGATAACATAAATGAGACTATGATGGTGGATTTTGAGGTTGAGTTTTCTGTATCATATACATCATATCATTGAGTTGTTT